GTATTTTTATAACATATTATCAAAATTATTTAAAGTAAGAACAAAATAATTTAATACTATTATATAAGTTTATGGTTTTTTGTAGTCAATATTAAAATTCGTCTTAAATAAATTGTTATTTTTTTATTTTTAATTTAGATTTTTCAATAGTTGCAAAATTTGCCTACACAAGTGCTAATTTGAGCTACATTTTTGGTTATTTGAGTTAATTTAGTTAAACCAAAAACTATAACCATACTATGGTTTTGGTTTTGAGTTTTTAATTTTGGTTTCTAAAAATTTTGCCACTATTGAAAATAAAAAATTTAGAAACCCTAAAATCAAATTAAGAATTTCTATAAATTGAAGAGGTTTAGAGTTTTGGATATTCATTTTTAAATTTGTTACCCACTAAGTTGTTTAATTTTAATTTTTAATTTTGGTTTTTAATTTTTAATTTTAATCGTTTGAATTTTGAAAACCAAAACCAAAAACTACCACAACTATACTTAACATACCTAAATAACCTAATCTTTTTTTTTTTATATGAAACCTAATTTTTTATTTTATTTATGATAAAAATGATGATGAATTTATGAATTGTCTATAATATCACCTTTCCTTTGTTCCTTTTTGGTTTACCTATTTTTTTTTATGGTTGCTAATTCAACTAATTGATATGATTTGTTTGGTACCATTCTAAAAAGGGTAGTGATATAGGGATAATATTTTTATATCACGTTTTTACATAATTTTCATGTGTCATTAAATGAGTGGATACATTTAATATCACGAATTCCAAATAAATAAAAAAACTCAATCATTTAAATGACATGTCAAATTGTGTCAAAAGATGGTAAAAAAGGGTTGTTATGAAATCATTTTCCTTTTAAAAAACAATAATGCAACTTTTTTATAATAGGCCACATAAATATTGCGTAATAAAAATAAAAAAATTAATTTTTAGTTATAGGTCTTACAAAATTGCCACATCATCAAAACAAATAAGTTTAAGAAGCATTTTGAGGTAATTAAAACCTTTAATGTTATTACAAGATAAAATAGAAAGGCTAGGGATCATGCATTTTAGATATTTAACCAATTAAGATAATTAACGACATTAATGACCAATTTAACAAACAATAATTTTTGTCCAATTTGGACCTCATTTCATAACCTTATTTGAGCGAAATAAATTTTGGGATCTCAATTGTGAATATAGTGAAAGTATGAGACCTTATTCAATGTTTAGCCAACTTTTAAAATATGCAGTTTTGGTTAATTCTGAATACCAACTAGACTTGGCAAAAATCCACCCGACCCGTCAACCCGACCATAACCCGACCCTTAAAAAACGGGTTAGGGTCTACATATCTCAACCCGCAACCCGTAGATAACCCGTATTATCAACCCGTACGGGTTACGGGTCGGGTTACGGGTCGGGTTAGGGTCAACCCGCGGGTTGACGGGTTGACGGG